GTGCTGGTGTTCAGTGCCCTGACACAAGGGTAGAAAGCTGAAAGGAATATTAGGAGGTGACACCTCAGTATTTCAAGAGATTTAAGCCCAAATGGCTCACTGAGGGTTTCTAGAAAGGAATCCCTGGCGGATGACAATTCCCTTCTCTCTCTCTTCCCTCTTGTCTTGCCTTCTGTCCTTTTTCACCCTTTACAACAGCAGTACAAGATTCAGAGCTGAAGTACAAAACCTTTTGGCCAGTCAAGCCAAAAGTTGATTAGCAGAGGTGCCAGAGATGGGATAACACTCGGATTTGGTATGAGCAGTTCATCCTCCCCTGAGGCAGTCAGACTGAATATTTTGACTTGCTACAATAATTTCCTGTGCACTGATAACCACTGATTCAGTACAAATGGTAGTAACAGGCTCCATCAGGAGCTGTCCTGAAGGGCTGTTGATTCATTTAATCCCACAATGAAGATTGAGTGAGCTATTATTTCGAAAGGCAAGCTGGATCCAGCATGTATTTGTATCAACACGCCAGAGATGACACAACCAGTGCCTCACCCAGCCCAGCAAAGTGGGGTTTTGCTAATGTTTTATTTGGTCTCCATGTTTGGCTGGGAGACAAGCAACGCTCTTTGGATGTGTTGTTTCCATGAACAGTATACTGGAAACATTCTCTGTGAGAGGGTGGCACTGCTGTGTTCTGCTCACTTGATTTCTGTGCACCTCCCTTCTGCATGGGCTCTAGTGGGAGATGTCACTGTGAGAATAAGGACTGAGGGCTTCTGGAGTAGCCACAGTGGCTGGGACTGCTTGCCCACCAAATGCAGCTGGGAGCTCCTACAGTTCCTGCCACATTTTGGAAGCAGTGAGGAGAGCCCGTGTGGCCCTGCTGAAGGAGTCCTGGTGGTCCTGGTCAGCCCACCTGCAGTAGGTGGCTCCCACCTGCACGTGAGCTCTTCGCAGGTTCCTTGTGACTGCTGTCCTCAGAGAGCCCACAGGCACTCAGGCATCTTTCCAGGTATGAGGTTTAAATTTTTGCCCTTTAATTTTTAAGGAACATTTTTGACACTGTCAAAGTTGAGGCAACTGGAGCTTTCTTTGATCTAGGAGTGAAGTTGACTCAGTTCTGCTTTGCCCAGTTTTATTTAAAGACCATGACTCCTACTACTGAAACATTACTCATGAATGCTGTTATTGCATTATCTGCTTTTCCATCTGTTAGATGCCATGGCCCCAGCAGCACAAATACCACAACAGTAGCAGCTGTCAAAGGTCTATTTAGGCATCTTCAAAAAGTAGTAAAACCTGATACCACTGAAGATAAGCCAAGTTTTATTATCATAAAGTTTTCTTTGGGTCTGATTTTAGAAATGTTACTACTTAGGGCACCTCTGGAATTTAAATTTTGATGGGAGGGAGGTTGTACTAATCTATTATTTTAAGTACAATTATTTGCTTATTCCTCATTTAAACAATGTTGTGTTATTTTTTATAACCCATGTACAAATATATAACTCTCTGTTATATCTGCCTGTAGTGTTCTGTTTGGTTACTTCCCAACTCTGGGAGTTCACATAGGATAAAAAAAAAGGACCACTTGGGCCAAACCCATGTCTCATCTGGGTAACCTCCATGACTTCGTGACAAATCAAAAGTCTCATTATAAGCATAGCTCATGAAGCACGAGATGCCCTGAACCAAGTCCTGTGTATCACTTAGAAATATAAAATTACAATTCTGTAGTGAATAGTGCATTTAAATATGAACGATAATTGGAGCAACAAATTAACCTTGTTTATGCTAATTGAGTGGATCTGAAGACTCCTTAAGGATAGGTGTCCCGTTAATAGCATTGCCTAATGGACTGCAGTTCCTTCAGAAGCCTCACAGTCTTGACCAGGCACATGGAAACAACCAAAGAATTCTGCAACACTACAGCTCCATGATGCTGCACACAGACAAGCTGCGTGTCTGCAGGAGGCCTGGGTACCCTGCTCCTGCTCCTGGCTGCTCTTACACCTCTGTCCCCATGGGCTCAGCACCTGCTGGTCCTTCAGCCCTCCTGGAAAACTGAGAGCTCTTCCAGTCATACCCCAGGAGGGACAGGACTGATGATATAATGGCCACCAACTGCTCTTGGGGTTTGGTCTGCCCCCACAAGTAGTCATAGAGGTGAGTGGTGCCCGATGGCTGCTGCACATTCCCTGAGAGCTGAAGGACACAGCAGCAGCACCGGCAGCTTTCCCAGCATCTCCCTGCTCACGACTGTGGATGTCTGAAAAGCACATAGGAGAAATGCATGTTTTAGGGCTAAAACCAGAAATGGAACGCAGCTGTGCTGGGGCCCAGGCTCTTCCTGGTGACAACACTGTATCTGCAATCTGTCAGGTAAGGTGTGCTTTTGGTGTAGCTGCTTTTTTCCCTGACAGTGCACCCTGGGTGCTGCCATGGGGCATCCAGCAGGAGCCACTCTGGGAGGTGGCACGGCACGTTCCCTGCTAGGTACAGGCACTCCTGGTCCCCTCCTCCCCGTTGCCTGGAGCCTGCCAGGACAGCCCAGCACCTCGGTGGCATCGCTGTGCGGTGCCTGCTGGCCATGTGCCACCCCAAGGGCTCCCTCCCCACCCTGGGGACCTTGCACAGAGATCCTGCCCAGATCTTGGGAGCCCCTCAGCAGGGACTGGGCAGGGGGTGACGGGTGCCTTGGGGACAGGGCGGGCAGAGGAGGGTCAAGATGGGGCTGTTGATAAGGCTCCAGCCACCAAACCGGTCTGGAGCCGTGTGATTTGGCACAGCGCACGGAGCTGTAGCTAGCAACACAAAAGATGAATAATTGCAGGTCGTGGCATTCATTCTCCGAATTTAAAATGATTAAGCTCTTGGTGAGGGCAGGCAGCTGCAGGTTCGGGCTGCCTTTGTCCCCCCAGCCATGGCTACCGTGGCACTGACGTCTGGCTGGTGAGCAGGCCCCTCTCCTCCTCCTGCTGCGCCCTTCGCCCGCAGCGGGCTGTGCCCCGGCTCAGGAGGGGACTGTGCACCCTGCGAATGCCAAGGGTGGCTCTGCTGCCCCTCAGCTCTGCCCCCGAGTCAGCTGTGACACGGGCCAAGTCACAGCCACCGCCCGTGCCTGTCCCAAGGAGGTGGAATTGAAAGGGCAGGGAAGAAAAACATCGCTCCGAGCAGGCACATCCAGCCCGGTGCTCTGCTCTCTGCTGCCTTGAGCCATGTCCCAGGCCACAGACAGAGCTTTAGAGGCATTCACGGGCCTGCCTAAAGTGAGTTTAGTTCTCTATTTAAAAACATTGGATATATTTAGATAAAACATAGTAGCTAATGACTGGGAGCAGGGAGGTTTTTGTAATGTTGAAGGGAAAGTAAAAATAAAAGGGCTGGTTTCTAATTAGAAAACTGTAACCTATATAAAACTATATCTTATCAGGATTGTCTTATCTAATTCAGTATTTGAATGGTACCATACGTGCCTACAAGTGAATGTGTCCTTGGAAAAGAAACAGTAGCTACTGTGGGTTCCTGCAGAGGGCTTGCAGTGAAATCCCGACATTACTGCTAGTTAGTGTAAAAATGCTGGCTTTGGAGGTCTGCTGGATGTTTTGAGCTAAGAGTCTGTGTGAGTTTTGCCATCAATCTGCAAGTACAATTCTTTGGTACAATTAATGTGGCACTTCAAAGCCTGAATCCTGTAAGCAGAAGGCTGAAGCTAAACCAGAAGAAAATGAATCCACCAATGTTTGCTAAATGGTCCTTTCCTCTGATTGCTGATGCTCTTTTAGTCCTTTCCTTGTTGGAGTCTAAATATCTACCAGCTCCTTTCAGAGTTCACGGCATTGCTGACCAAGGAAAATGAATTTTATTTTGCCTTCCAATTCTTTTTCCCCATTTCATTGAGCAACCCTTTAAGAACCCCCTTACTGTCTGTGCATCTGATTTTGATTCGCCTTTGCTGCAAAGCCTGCAGAGCTGTCACCCCAGCTAATTCTTTTCAGTAACAAGGGATGGTTCACAGTGCTGTCAGTCATGGGGAAGAGGTGAAATCTGGGATGGTGAATGAGTTTTGAGATTGTTAAGCATGGGGGAGAAAATGATGCCTAAGGGTTTCAAGTCAAGGGTGAAAGGAGTGCATCACAGCAGACTTGGAGAAGGTTGGTGATCGTCTGCCACATGCTTTGTCTACGTGTGTGAGAAGTGGGGGATGCATCAAGCAACAGCATTTGTACACAGCCTATCAAAGTGCATTTAACATTGCACAAAACTCATAAGAAAACTTTAAAGTGCTCTGTGATGCACACAAGCCTTGAACTAGCTATGAGTTTCTCTTGAGTGCTCCTTAAGAGAGGAACCTTCTGTGTGAGATTATGGCCACAGCTTCCAAGCACTGCTGTTGTTGCATTTGGCTTTCCCTGGGGAAAGCTGACTGCAGTTGCATTTCAATTTACAAAGAAAATAAAGCAAAAAGGAAAGAAGATGCCCAAATGGATGAACAAAAAAACCAAAAACCCAGAGAAAGAATCAGGTGCAAAAATAGTAAGGGCTATCCCAAAAATAAATAATTGAAACATACTGGGTCACAAACTGGATATGTCATTAATGCTGCAGTGTTGTAAGTAGGGAAAAAAACCAAGATTTATTCTGAAATTTGTGAGTGGGATGATTGCACCAGCAGCATGGGAGCTTGACAGTGGCAGGTCACATCCAGGACACGGGGCTGAACATTCTGGACAAATTGAGAGGTGTCCAGCAGACAGCAACAAACCTGGCAGTTGTAGAAAATATAACCAGTGAGGAAAGTCCGAAATAATTGAGCTGGATACTAGACCTTTCTCATTAGAGAGGATAAGCATCATTAATGAGTGCTTCAAAAAGAGGTGAGTGTGCATGTTGGAGCCTCAGGTGTGGTTAGGTGCATCTTAAACAGAACCTTAGGTTTCACCCAGTACTGTGTTCGGGGATCTTCCTGTGTTATTGCAGATGCTGAAGTGGGTTTTTAAAATTTTCACCCTTCTTGTTTTGCAGGATGGAGTGGGAGGAAGGCAGGCTGGCAGCCACAGCACAAGACCTCACAACCACAGCTCCCAGATTCCACTACTTGTTCCACTGCTGGTCCTGAGCAGCATTATCTGCAGGTAATAATCTTACAATCCCTGGACTTCTTGAAGGGGTTAACAGCTAAACTCTTTCCTGAACTGGGCTGAGGTCTCTATGTGAGTGGAACTAAAGATCTGCTAAGTAATATTATGTTGCTGTTAAGGCGGCAGGAGGGATAAACTATGCTGGCTCATATATAAATATTTGCACTTACAAACAGGAGCAAGGGTAACTGAAGAAAAATGTGAAAGGCTCATGTTGTTACTGTTGTTTTTTGAAGTTTGCTGTCCTGCAATGAAATACTTTTAAATAATTCTATGGCAACCACAGCATAACAAACCCCACATGGCCTTCTGCTCAGCTACTTTGACCAGCACCAGAACACAGGATGGTCACGGAATCTTGATAGCTTCTGGTGTTTTAGCCAAAGCACAAGTCTGCAGGAGCTGGGTCCTGCTTCTTTCTTTGCCCAGTTTAAGAAAATAAAAATAAAATAAAGGATGTTATATACCAGGCAGTTACAGCAGGACAGATACAGAAATAAACTATTTTATTAGTAAAAGACAGCTCTGAGCATCTGAGTGTTAGGCCACTCAGTAATTAAAAATGATCTTAGAACCACGAACCAAGCTGTGCCCTACACACTCCCATTTCAGACCAAACAATTACAGAAAACAGCTTAAAACTAAAAGCAGCAGACATCCAGTTAATAATCATAGGGTACATTAGGCACATTAGGGTACATTAGAGGTTTGCCTGTTTACTTGCATTTCTTTTGGCATAAAGAAACAACACACTTCATGACCCTCTCCTCTCCAGGTCTGAACGTGCTGCAGACATCCGGTTAGTAACCACGGGGTACATTAGGCACATCAGGGAACATTAGGAAATAAGAGGTTTGCCTGTTTATTTGCACTTTTGGGGGGATAAAGAAATAACATAGTTCATGAGCCTCTCCTCTTCAGGGCTGAATGAGCTGCTGGTGGAAGGCTGAGATGGGAGATCAGCAGAGGTTCATGACTGCCAGTAGCAAATCCCATGGAAAAAGCAAAGGCAGAGTTGTTAAGGACATCTTCTCAGAACCAGAACTGGAAGTGGTGAACCCTGGAGCATCCTGCTCCTTTACCAGCACCTTGTAGGTGGGTGAGATGGGGTGCAATGGAATGGATTTACACATAACATTCTGGAAGGAGAGGGTACTAGGGCAGGAATCCCTTCCTGCCCAGCAGAACAATGAGGCTGGGGCTCAGGTGGTGCAGAGCTGTCTTCCTGCTGCTCTCCACAATCATGGGTGAGGTGGGTCTGGTTTTGCCAACCAAGGGGAATGCAACTGCTCTTGGAGACTGAAACAGGTGGAGGGTGAGTAGGACCTATGAACCAGCACCAGCTCTGAGGCAGAACTGTTCCTGGCAGTATATTCACAAGCACTTGATCAGATTTAATATTAAATGCCCCTCTCACTGTGATGTTCTCTGCTTCCTCCAAGAGGTTTGGTTCATTAGGTCCATTAGTGCAATTAGAGATTCAACACAGCAGACCACTTGAAAAATATCAGTCCAAAGGTCATCTCACTGATGTGGCTTCTCTCTTACTGCACCACAACAGCTGCAGGAAAAGCAATGAGAATGTCCGAGTGTGTCCTTTCCTGGAGAAACTTCCTTTTGCCATGAAAAGGCAAGGGTGTTCATGTGGTGCTGCAGTCTGATGGCAAAGCAGAGCTTACAAGGCTCTGTGCTACAGCTGGGCTGTGTGGCAGAGCATCCTGGGGCCAACCAGTCTTGTGTCTCCCCAGCCTCACACCTGGGGAGACCCCCATGCAGGAGGAGCCAGGATGGTCTCTTATCTGAAAGCAGAAGACAAATAGCTGGAGGAACTGCTGATCACATAATGGGGGTCATCATGGCTTTGTGTTCCCTAAAATGTGCTTGTGGGTCAGCAACAACACACACAGCTGTCTGCTGGAGATGGTGGATGTCTATCATGACCTGCATCCTACCATGGCTGCTCTTGGAGAGCAGGGGGCTTGGGATTAAATCAGGAGTCAAGTTTCAGCCCCCCCTTATGAATAATTTTTCTTCTGTCACACCTGGAACAGAGCTGGTCAGGGTGGGAGGCAGCTCTGGCACCATTTCAGCCAAGCTGCAAGCCAGAACTGAGTTATTTCTTGCTGTGTGCATTTGGAAGAGGCCCATTCTCCATATTGCCCTGCTAGTAATCTGCTGAATCAGAGGACAGTCAGTGCAATGAGAAGAAAATCACTTGTCAGGGAAGGAGTGGTGGCATATGCTAAAGCTGTTATGAGAATTTTGCCTGGTTTTGGACAACTAGTTTGTATTTGATAATGTGGGAGATGATCAAGATCCACTTTTAGATTTCAGTATGGAATCATCTAAGACAGCAACTCTTGATGTCAGTGGGAAATGAGCCTATTTATGCTAGACAGAATTTGGGCATGGCAGACCAGAACAGCCATATGTTGCACAGTATTATGCCACACTCCATGTACGTGTCTGGTTAGTTCCTTACAATTCAATATGCTCAAAGTAGAGGCAGGCTGTGCTGTGTTTCAGGAACTAGTGCGAGCAGCAAATCCTGTTAGGAGAATAAAGCTGCCTAACCCATGGATTGCTTGTTGCATGCTCAGCACCATCAATCACTGCTCTGCCACAGCAGCTGGGGAAGGTGTGAGGGTGCCAGAAGTGTTCTGGCAAAGAGCAATGCCAGCACTCAGAGTGCTGCAGCCACAGCCCCTGGTGACTGCCTGGCCCTGCCATGGACGATGCTTCGGTGGGAGATGTGGTGGAGGGAATGTTCAGCTCCACCGAGCCACCTATCTTACAGCTTGGTGTGTTAAACTGGAGCTTGGCAGGTTTCCTCTTGTGTTAATATGCAGGGCAGTCAGCTAGGGCAGCTGTTTGGCTTCCAGGAAGGGCAGGACATTCCCCTGAATCTGGAATGGCTCCAAGGGCCACAGCTACATCCAGCTGCTGTTCAGCCTGCAAAGAGTGTGTGCAGGACATGTACCTTTCACAAGGCTGTACTGGCTTTTCCACTAGTTGAACACTTAAGAATCTTCCAGAGGTTTGAGTATTTTTCTCATACAAACTTTATTAAATTGCACAAATTCTTCCTGAGACCATTTGTCCCATCACATCCACAGTCTACTCCATCTACTGTCAGTCACTGCATTCCAGTTTATACACCTGGCCAAACAACTATCCCTGGCACTTGGTGTGCAGAGTGTTACATGGGCTGTCATCCCCTGCCAAAGGCTGTGAACGAGTCAGAGCTGAATAGAAACAGAAAAAGCACTTTAAACAAACAAACAAACAATCAAACAAACCAACCAAAGAAATAAAGAAGAATCAGGTCAACTTTCTCCTGCACAGGCTTGGGCTATAACTAAAGTCCATGTATTTGAACTTTTTAGACAATAAACACTACTACAAAGACTTCTTTTACTGAATTTTTAAAAAGCTAAATTGTACAATAATACACACCCCCAGTCAATTAATAGAATATTTCTTTTTCTATTTCATTTATTTAAAAGCCTGCAGTGGAGACTAATTCCTACAGCTGTATGGATTGTCATCAGCCATGCACTGCACACGAGCCAAACATTACAGCCTTCTGCAAGACAACTTTTCAGACAGCTGCATCTCATGTTGCCATGGAAATGGACGTGAGCTCACAGAAAGCCAGGTAATGTGTCATCCCCTGCCAAAGGCTGTGAACGAGTCAGAACTGAATGGAAACAGAAAAAGCACTTAAAAAAAAGAAACAAACAATCAAACAAACCAACCAAAGAAATAAAGAAGAATCAGGTCAACTTTCTCCTGCACAGGCTTGGGCTATAACTAAAGTCCATGTATTTGAACTTTTTAGACAATAAACACTACTACAAAGACTTCTTTTACTGAATTTTTAAAAAGCTAAATTGTACAATAATACACACCCCAGTCAATTAATAGAATATTTCTTTTTCTATTTCATTTACTTAAAAGCCTGCAGTGGAGACTAATTCCTACAGCTGTATGGATTGTCATCAGCCATGCACTGCACACGAGCCAAACATTACAGCCTTCTGCAAGACAACTTTTCAGACAGCTGCATCTCATGTTGCCATGGAAATGGACCTGAGCTCACAGAAAGCCAGGTAATGGACTCTAAAATCATCACTCCTTATATTGAAAAAGTGCTGGGGGGACCTTAGGTAGTAGTAGCAATACTAATAATGTATCAGCTTGTGCAACATTGGTCTTTGTTGGTTTTGTAGGAGGTTACGTTCGAGGTTACGTTTATGTTTGTATTTAAATTATCTGGTCAAGTACAACCCTCCCCTTTGCATTGCACTGACTGACCACAGTGCTGCAGCAGTCAGATGCCATTCAGACCCAGCAACAGGGAGAGCATCACTAAGAAAATGGAACTGAGAAGGAGAATTGTTTGTTTTAACTAACCAGGCATATGGACACAACTGACCTTTTCTTTTATCATGTCTGTCCTGTTGCACAACCATTTTCCATTAGTCCAGAAGTGTTTGCTTGATCCACTGCCATTACAATATATGATAAAGTTCAATAGTGTTATGTCCCACATTAATGTGCTTTCCCTTTGCTGTGTTCAGCAATCTTCAGCTTTGCCCTAGTTTCACAGTGTTCTTAATTGTACTGGAAATGTTTGCCTCTAGCATCATAGTAACATCTTACTAATCAAACAATACTGGCAAGGAAAGTTTTGTTATGCAGATAAACTTGACCATGAGAATTTAAACTGTAAAAACATTTAAAGCTTTTAGAGAAAAATTGTTCCTGTAGTCACAGGGTGAAATGCAGGGCTGCAAACAAAGAAAGTAAGATCTAGAAGCCATCTTCTCAGCCTATGGTTTTGTGGAAAAACCTTCTACATTTACAAGAGTCCTGCAAAAACAAAGTGCTTATATGCCAGCCTTAATCTTGAGATATTTTAATAGGTTGCTTTCAAGTTATTGAATTAGCACAAGGACAATTTTTTACTTGAATATTCACTCTAGAGAAATGGCATTGTCCACCAGAAACTAGCATTTTTTTATTATTACTATAGCATATCAAGATAGGATTTCGAAATTATTTTAAATCTGAGTCTTGAGCATATTGTAGCAAATTGAGGTATACACTTTTAATTTCTGGAAAAATCCCACTCCCTTGATCTGCAATCACCATACATTGAAATACTGCTGAAATTAAGAGTATGTATATACTCTCCACCTTAATTTGTGGCATGCTCATTTTTACTTACTGATCAGCTGATTTGTGGGTAGATTCATGACATTCCAGGCTATTTGCTTTCAACATGTCCTTTGCCAATCCTCTGTCAAATTAAAGAGAAAATTTTGTAACCATTTCAATCCATTTTCCCAAATCTGACTTGCCTCCTTATGGTGCCTAACAGCACTCAGCAGTATTTCCAAGCCTATGCAGAGTGTTCCTGCTGTATCTGTTTAGAAAGATGCCTGAACTTGGTCTATTGTAGTCAGAAGAGCTCTGTGGCAGAGATGGGGTTTGCACATTCAGAGTGGAGTCTTGCGATGAAGGAAGCTAACACTTCTGCAGTAAAAGTCATTAGGCATGCAGCCAAATTCAGATCTTACAATCTTCCTCTAGGCCATGCTTGTGAGATTTGGGGTTGTTTTAATTATATTGTTTCTTTCAAGTAGAATTTAGAGGAAGAGGATTGCTCTGTTTTCCTTCAGTGACTACTTCTTTTTTTCAGAAGCTCAGAGGTTAAGTATAAGATCTCTGGTGATTAATTAGTTTCTGCATAACCATCTCACACCCATTATTGTACGGGGTTCATATTCTGGAATTAGGATTGTGACAGGGAGAGCTGAGCTGGTGCAGGCTGCCACTTGCAGAAGAGGAAGTTCTCTGAGCCACTCTCCAATCAGCACAGTCTCTTCAAATACTGTTTAAAGCTCCTGCCAAACTAACACATGGCCTCTTGATGCTCAGGACATATGGAGTGCCTGTCCACAGGACAAGGGTGATCTCCAGAAGAGACAGCACAGATTTCTAGGAAGACTATTTCACAAAATTTGTCTATCTTTCCGAATGATCTGAAAACTGCATCCTCTTTTCCTCACATTAGCTCCCAGTTGCAGTTTGGATGAAGTCAGGGGCAGATCTCCCACTGACTTCAAAGCAGCAAAGTCTTGGCATTTAGAGGAAAATCAATATGAAGAATAATGATGCAACATAAACACTTCTGTTATAAATGCATAATGTAAATAACACTCTTTTATAGCATTTATTTAAATCCCCAGGCACTGGTAGAAAATAGGTCTCCAAATAACCTAAATAGTTTGGCACATTAAGCCCTCAGCCCTTACAAATATCGGTAGTGTTTCAAAGAATGCATTTTTAAGTGAGCAATAAAAAGCAATTAGGCATGTAATTGTTGTTTTAGAGATTTAATCCAATTCCCACTGCAGTCAGTGGGAGTCTACAATCACTTCAGTGGGGACTGAGTTGGGACTTTACACATTTGAAGGCAGGGAGGGAAAAAGAAGGGGATAGGCAGACCTGAACACAATCAGAATTGGGAATTTCATAAGCCTAAATAAAATGCACGAAACATTTGAGATAGAAGACATCCTTTTGTTGGGCAGAAAGCATCTACTGACCACAACTGAAGATTTCTCCCCTTGCCTCCATACAATGCCCCTCCTAACACATGACAGCCATATAATTAAATTATGGGATAGTAAACTTTTCTGAACTTCTCAAAGAAGATAACTCAGTTTTTCTCTATCAGATGTCACACCACCTAATTATAATTAATTGTATTTCTGTATTTGTCAAGTAGTACAAATGCAATGTATAAATCTGAAATGGGTAAACATTATAGAACTTCTATTTGACATATTGAGGAGAGACATGAATGCTATCAACACAGGCAGATGGAAAGCTTCAACATATTTTATATTATTTTCAATTGAAGTAAAAACTGTATTTAGTTTTTAAGGTGGAAATTGGAAATATGTACTGTTCAGAACATTCACAATTACTTGTGAGGGTCATATATCAATATATCTATATCAATATCTACATTGCAGATATCTGAATCCAGGTTTTTAAGTATTTTGTTTTCCCCTTGGTTGATGTGCAAAATATATGATGACTATCAAGTTACATAATTTAAAACCAAGTTCCTTGTTTGAATCTTTGTCAGGATTATATCTTATGGGAAAAAATATCATGCTTGTTACAAGATGTTAGAGAAATTTTATTGCGTTTTCCCCTAGGTATCACAGGATCTCATTTACAGCATTTTGTTTCCTACAGGACTGAGACTGCAGCCAAATATTTTGTCATTACTGAGTCAGGGCTAGGTTCATTGCTTTAGCTGAAATCTAAATGGAGTAAACAGAAGATGGATGTAAATGGGCTACTTGGAGCTCTGGTGGAGAGAATACCCCCTTTCTTTTGGTGCAGGAACAGAGGCAATGGGCATTAAATGATCAGCCTGGTGTGAATGGAAGCTCTCCACCCACAGTTTAAAGGTAAAGCTCTAAAACCAAATAGGGCAAATCATATTATCTTAAAATATAGTCTAGGAAGAAATGGTATAAAGCTACACAACATATTTTCCTAATAGTGAAATGGCTAGTAAGGAGACATGATGCAACTGACTTCAGTGACATGACAAAATGAGTTTCCAAGGATTTATACCAACCTAAGTATTACTTCTGGTGATTTATAAAACTGAACACAGATCTTCCTCCAGACAGTCAGAGGAACCAAACACAGAAGACAGCTGCAGTGATGTATCACTGTTTGTTTGACCTCATTCCTCTCAGGAACAGGGCCTTTAGAGCAAATGTGTTTGCACCAAGGCCAACTCTGCCCTCCCTACAGTTACTTGCCAACTGCAATAGGGCCTTGGAGAATTCACATTTTAACTATTGGACTTTAGAAAATGTATTTCACTCTTTCTACAGCAATGCAAATACACTCCTTTTTCAAGGAAAAGAACTATCTACCACCATTAAAATAAAAAAAAAAGCAATCAAGGACAGACTATAAGGTGCATGAGCAGATCACAGTATCCCAGTGAAACCCTGGAGAAGCAGGACTTTGAATTTGCTGACTGACCACTGGATGCCACTATTGTTCCACTGAATTGCAGTGCAGTGTTGTCATATTCTGACTGGCTTACTATCCCAAAGAGGAGAATTCAAATAGCACTGGTATGTGCAATTTTCTGTAGAAAACAAGCAATTAGATTTGAAATTATTAATGCCTTTCAATGTGTTTAGAAATTTGGTTTTTCTCTGGGCTCAGAGCCCTTTCCCTGCAGGAATCACAGCACCAGCCTCTCCCTTTGAAGGCCCTGGCAGACTACCTCCAGGTTTTGACTGAAGAGAAGCAATCCCAAATCCACACTCATCATGCAGAATATTAAGGCATTATTCAGGAAAAGAGGAAGAGATGAATGACCTAACATTAGTGTCCAAAAATTCAGACCTGAACTGGGGAGATGGTCGTGGTACTGTGGTCCCCAGCCTCTGTCCATGATAAGCTCAGTGTTGGATGTCACAGAGACATTAG